TGGCTCACACCTAAGAGTGCACAAACTGCTCTGGCAGAGGACACAAGTTGAGTAATCAGTACCCACATGGCAGCTCACAAGCATTTGTAACTCAGTTTCAAGGGATCCAATGCCTTCTTCGGGCCTTAGAGAGCACCAGGCACAGGCATTGTGCACAGATATACATACAGGAACTCTCACATACACATAAAATGAAAATAAATCTCCATGGGCAGGAGCAATAGTTCAGCCATTAAGAAGAGTACATCCTGCTCTTGCAGAGGACCTGAGCTCAATTCCCAAGACCCATATCCAGTGACTCATAACAGCATGTTATCTACAACTCCAGGGAGAGCCAACATTTCTGACTTCTACATGCACCAACACTTATGTTTACAGGTGCACACAAATTATACATAATTTAAAAGAGCAAATCACAGTTTCCTTTCTTTGTTTTGCTTTGTTTGATAAGATGGGGTTTCTCTATGTAGCTTTGTAGACCAGGCTGGCCTCAAACTCACAGAGATTCAGCAGCCTCTGCATCCTGAGTGCTGGGGTTAAATGTGTGCACCATCCATGCCCAGCAAATAAATCATTTTTTAAAACTAAATAAAATCTACAATGGTGGAAAACACCTGTGCCAAGCACTGGGGAAGTGACAGCAAAAAGATCAGGAGTTAAGAGACACAGCTGACTGTAATCAGGGTCAAGCAAGCATGGACTACATGAAACAGTCTCGAACAAAATAATACACATCTAATTTAACATAAGTTGTAGATTTCCTAAAGTAAATTCCCAACCAACAGCACTGTAAGTTAAGACAAAACAAAGTTAATCTTATATATGGCATTTTCTCCACAAAGTATATTATTGCCTTCTTACCATCAAGAACACATGACAGCACTCAAGCACATGCTTGGTTTCTATGCGAACAGGTACCTCACCAAATAAACATCACCAAATAAACAATTCTATAAAGATGAGGTAGTCAGAGAAGACAATTGTTTACAGAATGAGAACTGAAAGAAGTTGCTGTGTTAGCCCTCAACCAGGAGTTCTCACACTGGGCCTCTCAGAATCTTCATCATTCTCAGTTTACCCATGGAAGGCCAGCAAATCTCTGGGGGAAAAACAGGCTTTAAGGTTACAAACAAATTTAACAATGGACTTTACATCACACATACATAAATACATGCATACTTAAGGTATGAAGGAATAGGACAGAGAAGGGACTTCCAAAGGGCAATAAAAGTCAGAGTGTGCTTGGTTTTATAATGAAAACTCTAAACTATAATTCTTATTAGGAAATAAGCAATTGCAAGATTGGTATCTCAAGGGTCTTTTCTCTGCCTGTGGGCATGTCAGGGCAATGTCTCATATTGCCATCAAAATTTAAATACACTGAGCAAAATTTTATTTATTTCTTTTCATTTTACATATTAATCCCTGTTCTCCCTCCCTCCCTCCCTGTTTCCCTCCCTTCGTACTCTCAAGCCCCCACCACCACACTCCTCTCCCACCCTACTCCACATGTAGGGTGATGTCTTCCAGAAGGGGTCATCTAAATCTGTCCCATCATTTGGAGTAGGGACTAGGCCTTCTCTCCTGTCTCTAGGTTAAGGGAGTATCCCTCCATTGGGGATGTGCACCCAAAGTCCTTTTGTGCACCAGGTACATATCCTGTTTCCACTGTCAGAGGTCCCTTAGACTTCCCAGGCCTTCTGGCAGAGACCCATGTTTAGGGAGTCTGAGTCAGTCCAATGCTGGAATCCCAGCTCTCAGTCTGGGGGCCTAGTAGCTCCCTCCTTTTTCAGGTCAGCTGTCTCAATGTGTATTTGTAGCCTGGTCTTGTCCTCTCTCTTTGCATCTGCATTCCTGTTTTGCTCAGTGGTTACTTGTGGGTGTCTGCTTCTGTTTCCATCTGCTGCTAGATGAGAGCTGTATGATGGTGGATAAGACAGTCCTCAATCAGGGAAGGGCACTGTTGCTCAAATTGTTACTTGCAATGAGTCTTGAAGGTCTCTGGACATTTCTCTAGCTTCATTTTTCTCTTCAAACTTATAATTGCTCCCTCTATTATGTTCCCCCCACCTCTCTCTCTCTCTCTCTCTCTCTCTCTCTCTCTCTCTCTCTTCACATCTATACCTCCTGTTGACTCAATCTTCCTAGGCCCACATGCTTTCCTCTCATCCCCTTCTCTTCCTCCTATCTCCATCTCCACTCACTGCCCCACTACTCCCCATATGCTCAGGAGATCTTGGCCCTTTCCCTTCTGTGAGGGAACTTATATGAATCTCTTAGAATCCTCCTTGCATCTTAATTTCTTTGGCAGTGTTAATTACAGGCTGGTGATACTTTGCTCTGTCTAAAATACATATATGATTGAGTACATGCAATTTTATTCTTTTTGTGACTGGGTTACCTCATTCAGGATGGTTTCTACAAGGTCCATTCACTTGACTGCAAATTTCAAGATTCTATTATTTTCTTTTCCGGCAGAGTAGTATTCCATTGTGTAAATGTGCCACATCTTCTTTATCCATTCTTCAGTTGAAGGTCATCTTGGTTGCTTCCAGATTCTTGCTATTACAAACCATGCTGCCATGAACATAGTAGAACAGAAGTCTTTGTTGCATGGATGTGGATCATTTGGGTATATGCCTAAGATGGCGATTGCCGGGGCCTGTGGTAGACTGATTCCCATTTTCCTGAGGAACCGCCTTAATGATCTCCAAAATAACTGTACAACTTTGCACTCTCAACAACAGTGGAGGAGTGCTCCCCTTTCTGCACATCCTGTCCAGCATAAGTTGTTCTTGGTGTTTCTAATTTTAGCCAATCTGGCAGCAGTAAGATGGTATCTCGTAGTTCCTTTGATTTGCATTTTCCTGATAGCTAAGGATTGTGAGTACTTTCTTTAGGGCCCTCCAGCCTTTTGAATTTCCTCTATTGAGAGTTCTCTATTAAGTTCTGGATCCCATTTTTATAGGGTTATTTGGTGTTTTGTTGACTACTTTCTTGAGTTCTTTGTATATTTTGGAGATCAGCCCTCTGTCAGATATAGGATTGGTAAAGATATTTTCCCAGTCTGTGGGCTGCCGTTTGGTCTTGTCAACGGTGTCCTTTGCCTTATAGAAGCTTCTCAGTTTGGGGAGGTCCCATTTATTAATTGTACATCTCAGTGTCTGTGCTACTAGAGTTATGTTCAGGAAGCAGTCTTCTGTACCAGTTTGTTCAAAGGTACTTCCCACTTTCTCTTCTATGAGGTTCTATGAGTTTCAGTGTGGATGGATTTATGTTGAGGTCTTTGATCCATTTGGACTTGAATTTTGTGCATGGCGATAGACATGGGTCTATCTACAGTCTTCTATATACCCTTATCCAATTGTCCCAGCACCAGTTGTTGAAGATGCTGTCCTCGCCCCATTGTATAAATTTAGCTGTTTTGTCCTAAATCAGATTTAATTTCATTGCTGACCTTGTCTATTTTTGTGCCAATACCAGGCTGTTTTCAGAACTATAGGTCTGTTGTAGAGCTTAAAGTTGAGGATGGTGATGCCTCCTCGAGTTTCTTTATTGTACAAGATTGTTTTGGCTATCCTGGTTTTTTTTGTTTTCTTTTTTCTGTATAAAGTTGATTATTACCCTTTCAAGGTCATTGAAGAATTGATTGAGCACAAATATTGATTGGAAACCCACTATTTTCCTTTCAGTTTTGGCACTGGGAATATAAATAAAAGTACCATATTTCTTACAGGGTTTAAATTAATGAGAAGTGGAGCACGTGATGTTTAGAGAACAAAACAAGATGTGATGAGAAATAATGGGACAAAATAAGAGATATTGGTTCAGTTAGGGTACCAAGAAAGCATTCTTTAAGATGACAGTGGGACTCACATCTGAATGAAACAAAGATTCGAAAATGCAAGCACATAGAACACCATATAGTGAAAAAAATAAGAAGAAAAGAAAAAGCTTGAAAGATGAAAGACCTTACCATACAGATGTGCTGGGCACACCAAAAATGAAGACAGCCAATGGAAATAGATAGCAACAAAGAAAAGAGGCATAGTATAGTTTATAGCTTCTCACAAGGTGGGTAAGGTAAACTTGGCTCTGAGAATCTTGTTTTAAGTCTGTTTAAAAGCATTTAGGGTGGGGTTCCAAGAAAGACTGTGACAGTATGAACAATTTATGTTTTAGGAGTTATTCTGAGTTTACAGAGAAAAGACAGTGTAGGAAGTTGAGGTATAAGATATTCATAGGGCTACTGTAATGAACCAACTACTGCTAATGATGGCTTTAACCAGAGTATTGGTAGATGATAAAAAGCCATCAGATTAAAGGTTAAGAAATTTGACAGAATTTGATGATAAGACAAACAAATATGGGACACAAAAGGGGCACTGAAGGTTGACTAGCAGCTGCCCTGTTCACTAAGACAATGATACTGCCATTTAGTAACTACTACAAGGAATATTAAGCAAGACTAACATGCACAGAAGAAAGTAGTCCCAGTTTTATATACACCAGGAATTTCCATCCAAAGACACTACTCAGATTCCCGGACCCTGTATGTCAGCATGAGTGTAAGGCAATAATCTGATAAATGTTACTAGATACTGAGAAAGGTAGCTTGGGAATTCCAACATATTTACATTTTGTTCATGAAGAAAAACGTTCAAGACAAAATAACATTCTTAAATGTGAATGATGTAGCCAGGTAATGTAGGGCACTCCTTTAAATCTAGCAGTCAGGAAGCAAAGGCAGGTGGATGTCTCTTAGTTCAAGACCATCCTGGTCTACAGAGTGAGTTCCAGGATAGGCTGCAAAGCTACACAGACAAATCCTGTCTTGAAAACACAAACACCAAATTAAAAAAAAAAAAAAAAAAGAAACAACATGAATGATTCTGTGAAATTGATAACATCCAATAATCAATGTGTAAAGCCTCTAATACATAACATGCATTTAAAGACATTTCACTTGCAATTCACTGGAGTTACCAAACACCTCACACCTGTGAAGCATCCTTTCATTGTCTTGGTACAGCTCCCGCATCACTGTGATTTTCCTTTGAAGCTTCTGTTTCTCGATTTCAAGTTGTGTATTACCTGACTGCAGAGACACTTGTTCAGACTTGAGACTTCGCATATGCTCTAGACAAAGTTACAAAATCATAAAGAAACAAAATTAAAGGAATTTCATGAAATTAAAAACATGTTAAAATCATATTAAAGATACACAAAATTGGCCAGATCACTGTGACTTCAAAACCCACCTACTTTATAAAGATACACAGAGAAGCCTGTCTTGAAAACAAAAATCCTTAGTCACATGCCTAGGGTTTTTTAATGTATATGGAATCACTCAGACAATATACAATTAAAAATATGTCTTAAATTTTTAGCTGCTAGAGAGGTAAAGGGGAGTGTTTGTTTTTCCAAAGGTCCTGAGTTCAGATCTCAGCAACTACATGGTGGTTCACACAATCTGCAATGGTGTCTGGTGCCCTCATCTGGCTTGCAGGTGTGCATCCAGTCAGAACACTGTATACATAATAAATAAATCAATCTTAAAGAAAAAAAGATAATTGACAAGATTGGACATGCCCAGGGACACACAGCTATAGTCAATTACTATAGACAACAGTTCAGTTACTAGTACCATAATAAATCAGCTTTTTTTTCAGTCAAAATTGTTCATGTGCTGTCATTCAAACTAGCTGATAATAAGTGCTCATTTCCACTTTCCTGAGAGACCAAGTCTCAAACAAAATGAATACTGGAAAGAATAATGACTTTTCCATTATTTCAACTGCTATACTACTGAATCATCCACAAAATTGGGAGATAGCTCAGTCAGTTAGGTACTGGCTAAACAAACATGAGGACCAAAGTTTGGGTCATGAGCACCCATATAAGACCTGTCTGAGTGCTGGAAAGGGAAAAAACAAGATCCCTAGGGCTCACTGAGCAGCAGAATCCAGGTTTAATGAGAGCTTTCTCAATGAATAAGGGGGAAAGCTATTGAAGGAAAGCCTGAATATCTACTTTTGTCCTCTATATACATATGAATACAGACACACACAAAATGGATTCTCAATTATAAGTAATTGTGATTCTGTATGAACTAGCATACCATTATTTTTACATATCTCACTTTTCTTTCATTATGATTACTACAACTCTACACAGCTCTAATATTGAAATGAGATCCTCAACTCTGACCTACTCTAAGGTATCATTCCCAAAATATATGTGAACCAGTCGAATACAAGATAAAATGCACTATACTTCAAAAGGGCAGTTTCAAAATCATAACAAGGAAAAGTTTAGTAACTATATGCAATGGGATGTTATTATTCTAAAATGCAAGCTACATAAACATATGGACCAAAAGAAAAGTTTGTGTCAATACAGTAATAGCAAAGAGAACATGTACAGGAAATCATGCATAGGTGACTTCTGCAAAAATTGTAAAGCTATACCAGAAAAAAATGCCCATCCATGATGTCTGCCAAATCTAACAAGTCACTTATCAAGAAATCAATGATCAATATAAGCTGTAATATAATTGAATCATACTAATGCAAAGAAGTCTTACAAAACAACACAAATTATTTTACCATTATACACTCAAGCTCTTTTTTCTAGTGTCTTACTTCATCTCATTTTAAAACTTTTAAAACTAAGTGTTTGGGAGACGTGGAAGGCAGGGGCGGGCTCAGAGGGAAGGGGTCTGGGAAAAAGTATAGCTCAATTAAAAAAAAAGTGTGTGTGTGTGTGTGTGTGTGTGTGTGTGTGTGTGTGTGTGTTTGTGTGTGTGTGTGTGTGTTCACCTGAGCCTGCATGTCCGGGTGGGCAGAGGTCAGAGGACAGCTACCAGGGGTCTGTTCTCTCCTTCCACTGGAGACAGAATTCAGACTATCAGGCTCCGAAGAAGGGGCTTTTATGCACTGAACCCACACACTATAATAGGGCACTGTACAGGCCAGGTGCAGTAATTTTAAGCCTATATAAAGCAGACATGTGAGAAGCTGAGGTAGAAATGTGAAGACTTCAACAAACCTGGGGTTTCATAGAAACATGCATTTAAAGGAAGAACACTATAAATTATTACCAAAAAGGCCAGATACTATGGGAGATGAGAGATGGTCAGAGAAAAATGCTCCCATATGGTAAAATTATTGAAAAAAATTATGACGCATTAAGGAAAGAATGTTGGGGCTGGAGACATGGCTCAGCAGTTAAGAGCAATGAATGCTCTTCCAGAGTACCTTGGCTCAATTCCGATCACCAACAGGGCAGCTCAAAACTGTCTGTAACTCCAGTTCCAGGGGATCTGATACTCTCACACAGACATATATGCGAGCAAAATCCCAATAAAGTAAATAAATAAAAAACATTAAATAATTTTTAAAAAAACACCATGGAAAAAGAAAAGGTGGTTTTGGAGGAACGCTCTACACACAAAAGAGTTTCCAGTATTACTTGGTGGGGGGGAGGGGATTAAGACTGGCCAAGAGAAGGAGTAAACAATGGAATAACTGGTGAACTAATTGCTTGCTACACTGGTACTTCCTACTAAGATACATGTAAGTTAATGTATGCCTCGATAAAGCTACCTTGAGAACAGAGTGCCTATTCCTCTCTGTATCTTCCACGCTGTTAATACCATTCATCTCAGATAGCAGCATTTTTTTTAATTAGACTAGTGTTTTTTTCAGGTCTAATAACAATACAATTACTATAATCAATGAGTAGAGCAATTTAATCCAATGGTTCAATCTTTTTTAAGCATTTTGCTCATTAAAAGAGTTAAAGGCCTTTGAGACCCTTTTGGTCTTTATCTCATCAGATCTCAACCCTGGTCTTGAAGGTTATAAAGAAGATAAAGTACACTGAAGCTGGCCTCCCAATGATGAAGTCTGGTATAGAGCATAGGTCCAGATTCAAATGGTTCTGGCTATCGTTTGGAATACAGAATAAGTTAAGAATGAAAAGGAAGAAATGTGAAGTTCTGGGCAGCCATGGCAATGGTTGACTACATATTGACATTTCTTGTATTCATTGAGAGGATTATTTTGTTGTTGTTAATTTCTGGTATGTTTATGTTCAGCTGTGTAATCAGTGAAGGGGTCTTGCCTGTGATCATAGGTGTAGAGTTAGAAACAGGCAGGAAGAGCATCAGGCAGGTGAAAATGAAGCTCCACAAGAAGAAGCTTTTTTCTTATGTTGCATCGTTTATGCAATTGTAACAGGATCAATAAAGCCTGTTTTGAAAAGAAAATATAGATGAGGAGAAATAAAAAAAAAATGTCTGTGTTCCCATTCTGAGTTAACCAGCACAGACATTTGAATATGTCCATCCATTCTCTTCAGATATAAACATATGAATTTATTTCATTAACAAAGTGAGATATGATATACCTTTTACAGCACAAACAGAACTGGAAAAAAACTATTTTTCAATGTGAACAAAATCAGCAAACTTTTTTTAATGCTTTCCCTAAAAAAAATATATTTTATAGGTCTAAAGCCACTATTGTGTATGCTAATAAATTATATGAATATATTAAAGTAGTAGACATTACAAGCTCAAGTCCTGAAGATCACTTTATCAATTTTAAAAAATGTAAGGAAAAAATTAAATTTAAAACTTTTTAACATCTAAAACTATATCCAACATTGTACTCCTTGTGGTGGCTTGAGTGAAAATGTCACTCTAGGCTCAGAGGATGTGACACTATTAGGAAGACTGACCCAGTGGCACTCTTCCTTCCTGCTGCCTGCAGATCTAGATATAGAACTCCTGGCTCTTTCCCCAGCACCATGTCTGCCTGTGTGATCTTCTGCAGTGCAATTACTATGGAATACTACTTTATGGTATACTTATCATTTGCAGGCCCTAGAACTCTAAACTATAAGCCAGATCCAATGAATGTCTTCCTTATAAGATTTGCCATGGTCAAGGTGTCTCTACATAGCAATAGAAAACCTACCAAAGTTTCACCATACTCCACATTCTTACATGCTTTTAATAATTTACATAAATATAAGAGAAAATGGAGTACATTTACCACTGACAGTAAAACTCAGAAGTAATTCATTCTATTTAAGGAGACATGGTCGTCAAGAACCCTTACCTATATGATCATCATTTGTTACATCTATTTCAGATAACTGAGTATAACTTTGGTTTCTGTCTCCTTCTAGGGTTTTAATGAAGCCCTTAACTTTAAAGAAGGAAAAGAAGAAGAAAAGCAATTATCAATTACACACACAAAAAACGAACAACAAACAACAACAACAAAAAAAACACATTCCCAATATACTCCATACTACTGTTCCGCAGTTATTTTCCCTGTGATGAAGTTATCATGGACAACATAAAGACATCAGTGCAGCTGCTAAAGCAGCCTTCACCCTATACAATCAGGACTTTTTACACAGATTAACTAAGAACAGACAGAGGGAATAAACCAGAAGAAAACACAGCCATTATTTATTTCTCAGAAGAGTATGAGGAACCATTGGAACCAGAAGAAAAGAATGAACAAGGTGAATGACGAAACAAAACAATAATATTTCTGAAGATATCTTTAATGAAAGGAATGAGTGTACAATTTGAACATTTCTAAATACTGTAATTATAAGAATTTCTAAAGTTGATATAAAAAAAGAAATTGATAAGGAAATCCTAGGGGCTGGAGAGATAGTGCAGTGGCTGCTCTTCCAGTGGACCCGGATTTAAGTCTCTATACCCACATGGCAGCTCACGACTGTCTGTAGCTCCAGTTCCAGGGAATCTCAAACCCTCATAAAGACACGCATGCTGGCAAACCACCAATGCAAAGAAAATTAATACATCAAAAGAAAAAGAAAATTCTAATCATTTATCACATAACCTTATACAAAAAAATAAAAGCAATCTTTAAATTAGTTACATAAGGACACACAGATTTCATCTCTGCTGTAGGTCCTGCTACTTCTCATCTAGAATTTTACGTACTAATACAAACCTCAGTAGCATATATTAGCTTCCTCAAAGCTGATTAGCTACAGTGAAAAATAAAACCATACTTAGTGAACACATCCAAATTAATGCATTAGTTCTTCATCTAGTCTTGCAACCCCTCTTCTGGCCAAAATTAAACAATTTGAGGCTGAGCTTACTTGCTCTTGACTCTAATTCCAACATTTCACAGCAAAGACAAGGGGATTGTCTCAGTAAAAAGAGTAATTAAAATAAAAACAATAATTTACATAAGGTAGAGTGACCTACACTCAGGAAGATAGAAAGTGCACTACAGAGACCCAACAAGAACTGAATATTTACATAAACAGTGTCCATGGACTTAACTATGCTTAGATTCTTATGGCATTACAGCCTCCAAGTTAATTAGTCAATCGTGGCTTCAACACTAAAATTATTAAGGAACCATAGCTCCAAGTTAAGTACTATTAAACATAATTAGAATTTATGTTTCTTCTATTATAAAATAAAAATGAAAAATACAAATATACCTTACTATACCTTACTATAGTTCCCCTTTTGTTATGGAACTTAAGAGCTGTGTTGTTATAATGAAGAAATATAGGCTATAGAGAAGAACAAAAGAGAAGAAGTCTACAACTCTGAAGAGGAAAAGAAAGATTTACACAAAAGACTAGCTAAATAAGGTGGAAAGAGTGTGTGGTACTTCATGAAGATAGACAAAATGTGCCAAGTCTAAGTATATGAGGAGCTCGATACACATGTGGAATGAAGAGGAAACAAGGAGCCGGTCGCCACAAGTCAGTGCACGTTATTCTCTAAGTCATTGTTCACTTCTACATCCAGATTACCATCATCAGTTACATCTTTCCCAAGCACAGGAATCCAGTCTTTCATCCTTAACAGGCTCTCCATCAGAGACTGGGTATTGAGTAAAAAGAGAAAACAAAAAGAGAAGGTAATGACTCATGATAATAGCTTTATGATGGGAGATGTCATTTTGTATATGTTTCTCATATTGGTTAATAATAAAGCACTGTTGGCCAATAGGAAAGGAAGATAGGAGGGACTAGGAGACGAGGAGGAAATAGGAAGTAGGAAGGAGGAGTCAAGATGGAGAGTCTGGAGAAAGCAGTATGCCGCCGGCTCCCCGGTAAGAGAAATACATAGATCAGCAGAAATGGGTTAATAATTAAGACAGAGCTAGCCGATAAGAAACAAGTAACCAGGCCAACAGCATTGTATCAAATACAGAGTCTCTGTGTGTTATTTGGGGCTGGCACAACTGCCGGACAAGAGTGGCGGCGGGCAGAAAAACCGTACTGAGAAAATAACAACAACTGATAAAGGAAATGCTGTTGCATTAATTCAATTTATATATTTTAAAAATGCTTTGACTCCAACATTTAAGTTCAAGGACAAGTTACTGGGAAAAAGGATTTCTATTTTTGTTTCCACAGAAAATGAAAAGCTGTGGGTTCCTTCCAGACTAATGTGGTTTGAACAAGCCAGGCCCCCTGAAACAGAGTTCCTGATGATCCAACATTCAAAACAGCTTGAACAAGGCAGACTTGCAGACTACAGCCAGGATTTCTTCATCTTCTTAGGATCCCCATGACAGCGCCCCCTATCACCAGGAAGTAGTTTGGAAAGAACGACGCCCAAATTCCCAAACATTGTATATAAATGTTTGTTTTCATTTAAATGGACTTGGTTATAAATGGGTAATGATCACAGCCAATTATTTTTAAATGTAAAAAGGGAATTATGGTATAGATATGCATAGTTTGTTTTGGAATGGATTTTCATTTATTGATACAATTTAAGGTCAATTTTGTGATGTATATATTTCTCTTCTTGTTTATGTATTGTGTTTATATAGCTCATTTAAAAATGTAATGTATAATTTAGTACAGATTTTAGATAGTTACCTATAATAGTCAAAACATAGCTAGGTGAGTTAGGTTTTCTAGATATGCAGAGATGTATTTGAGATAGATAGATATTCTTCAAATCTTTCAAAGACCTACAGAATATGGCATTTAAAATGGTTTAGGGTTTTTCTTGACAATGAGGCACAATTGCTCCTGGCAACATCACCTGCGTCAGAAAGGAAGATGGACATTGAAGAAACTCATTATGGAGTTTACTTCCAATATGGCAAGACTAGCCATTTGGACAAGATACTGCTCTTGTCTGGACCGTTTGACTTTATGGTGTATAAACTGGACATGCAGGACCCATAGAAAAGTGATTGCTGATTCAAGATGGACATTGTTATAGAGTGCCTGCTTCATGGAAGAATCTGCCAGACAGTCTGCAGGACACAGAGGAAAGTGACTGACAAACTGCCAATACAAGAAGACAGTTTAAAGTTTCCTGCTTTGCTGAAGAGTCTGCCAGACACACTATGGCCTATGGGCTGAAGATGGAAGATTACAGAAGAACTTCAGGTGACTGACAAAGGCAAGATGTCTCTGTCATTTGTAGATTTTATCTATTATCCTTCTGTGGTCTTTGAAAGAGTTAAAGACAGATAGTTATGGTTATAGTTTTCCTTAGTTAGGCTTTAAGATAAGTTACATATAGGACTTTTGACTCACAAAGATGGAATAGATGATGGAATAGTTTCTTAAATCTTGATAAATGTTAATGGACTAAATATTGTTAACTGTGATTCTTATTTGATAACTGTTGTGTTATATATTTTGCGATGTTAAGTTTAAAACCCTTCTTTTTATTTAGACAGAAAAGAGGAGATGATGGGAGATGTCATTCTGTATATGTTTCTCATACTGGTTAATAATAAAGCACTGTTGGCCAATAGGAAAGGAAGATAGGAGGGACTAGGAGACAAGGAGGAAAGAGGAAGTAGGAAGGAGGAGTCAAGATGGAGAGTCTGGAGAAAGCAGTATGCTGCCGGCTCCCCGGTAAAAGAAATACATAGATCAGCAGAAATGGGTTAATAATTAAGACAGAGCTAGCCGATAAGAAACAAGTAACCAGGCCAACAGCATTGTATCAAATACAGTGTCTCTGTGTGTTATTTGGGGCTGGCGCAGCTGCTGGACAAGAGTGGCGACGGGCAGAAAAACCGTACACGTTACAGCTTTACAATTTAGAAGTTAAGTCATCTGAAATTCAATCCTGAGCCAGTGAGATGGCTCGGCAGGTAAAAGCATCTGCCACTTAGATTGATAATCTGAGGTTATTCCGCAGAACCCACATGGTAGGAAAATTGCACCCCAATATTTGTCTTCTGAACTCCACACCCACATCATGGAATGCACATACCTGACACATACATACACAAGTAACTTTTTAAATATTATACTTTTTTAAATCAATCACCATAAATAAATCCTTTTGTGCCCTAAGTATCTGTCTGCAATTGAGATATGTAAATAGTTGGTTTCATTTTCTAACTCCACATTTAGGGACTATTAAACCTGAAAAACTAACTTGCTGAACATGGTACATCTTTTACCCCATCACTCAGAAGGAATAGACAGGCAGATCTATGTGAGATGGGAGCCAGCCTGATATAATAAAGTGAGTTCTGTTAATAAAAAAATACCTCTTGAAACTCTATATGCAAAAAAATAATATTATGGATATTATGGAAGGGAGGGATGGAGGAAGGGGAGGTAGTGAGGGAAGGAAGGAATGAAGGAAGGATGAAGAGAATAAGGAAAAGAAAGAAGAGAAAACAAAATCAAATACAGTGTTTTATAATGGTTCATTCTTGTTAACTACAAAGCAACAAAATATTTTCTTTTGTGTGTATCATACACACATGGGTATGCAGGTGCACATACAACTGCAAGAGCATGAGGTAAGAAGATGCAAGTGTCTTCTTCCATCATAGTCTAGCGTACTGCCTGGAGACAAGACGTGTCATGGAATCAGAACTCTACTATCTCAAAAGCATGGCAGCTCAACAGGCTCTAATCTCCACTGTCTATGTCCCCTGTGTGTGGCTCTCAGGCTTGCGCAGCCATGCTCTTCTTATGTGGGTGCTTAAAATTCAAACTCAAGTCCTTATGCCTGGATACCAAGTGCACTAACCCACTAAACTATCTCCCCACTCCCTAAAATACTTTCTTTTGACATTCTTTATATATATATATATATATATATATATATATATATATATATATATATTTACTAATTTACAGTTGGACTGGAGAGATAGCTGAGCAGTTCGGGACTCGTTACTCTTCTAAAGAATCTAAGCTCTTTTCCCAGCACCCATATCAGATGGTTCACAACCACTTGTAACTCCAGCTCCAGTACATCCAGTGGTCTCTTCTGGCCTCTGTGGGAAGCATGCAGGCAAGTGGATGGCACTTGAAGAAACCATCCTGAATGAGGTAACCCAGTAACAAAAAGAGGAACACAGTATGTACTCACTCATATATGTACTTTAGACCTAGATCAAATGATCACCAGCCTATAATTCACATCACCAGACAAACTAGGATACAAGGTGTATTCTAAGACATTCATATGAAGTCCCTCACAGAACTGGGAAGGGACAGGTCCCCAGAGCTCAGGGGAAGTGGGGGGGGCAGCGAATGGGGAGAAAAGTAGGAGAAAAGTAGGGGGAGGTAAGGAAAATATGTAGGACCAGGAAGATTGAGCCCGGTTAGGAATAGAAGATGAGACAGAGAGAGAGAGAGACAGAGAGAGAGAGAGAGAGAGAGAGAGAGAGAGAGAGAAAGAGAGAGAGAGAGAACATAAAAGACGGAGCCAATAATAGTTTGAAGATAAAATTGAATGCAAAGGTCTAGAGACTTACAAGACTGCTGCCAACTAACAGTGTGAGATCCCATGGAAAGGCTACCATAAATGCCCTTCTCAGAGAGTGAGATCAACAACTAACTTATCTATGGAGTCCTAAACTTGTGCCTGAATGAAACAGGAGCAAACACCCATACATAAACACTGAGTCGAAGTAGAACCCGGATTAAGATTGAGAGGACAAGACCAGGCTACAGAAACACATAGAGACAACATACCTGAACAAGAAGGAGCTAATGGGCCACCAGATTGATAGCTTGGAAGCCAGCATGGGACTGACTCAGGCCTCGCTGAATATGCCTCTCAGCCAAGGGACTGAGCAGTCTAAGGGAACTCAGACAGTGGAGCCAGGATGTATCCCTGGTGCACAAAAGGACCTTGCTAACACATCTGCTATGGAGGGATAACTGCCTTTACCTAGAGACAGGAGAGAAGCCCTAGTCCCTACTTCACAGGACCCGTCAGATCTACATGACCCCAACTGGATGGCATTCCCCTACATATGGAATTGGGGTGGGGGGATGGGAGGGGAGGGTGGTTAGAGTGCATGTGAGAGGGCAGAGAGTATAAAAGGGAGGGAAGGAGGGAGGGAGGAATGAAAGGAGGGAGGGAGAGAGGGTGGAATGAAGGGAGGGAATGAGAGAGGGAGAGGGAACTGGGATGGACATATAAAATAATAAATTAAATTAAAAAAAAATGCTTTGACTCCAAAATTTAAGTTCAAGGACAAGTTACTGTGGAAAAGGATTTCTATTTTTGTTTCCACAGAAAGTGAAAAGATGTGGATTCCTTCCAGACTAATGTGGTTTGATCAAGCCAGACTGCCGGAAACAGAGTACCAGGTGATCCTACATTCAAAACAGCTTGACAAAGCAGCCTTAAAAACTACAGCCAGGATTTCTGCATCTTCTTGGAATTACCTTGACAGAGCCCCTTACCTGCAGGAAGTAGTTTGGAAAAAAGATGCCTAAATTCCCAAATATTGTCTAATGTTTGCTTTCATTTAAATGGACTTGGTTATATAAAACAACAAAAAGGTAAAAATCATTATTTTATTTCTTTATTCATGAACTCCATGCTAAAATACTGGAGAACAAAGACATGGAGTGTTAACATATGTATTACAAATCTATGTATGTTCTAGAAGCATTTGAAATGTAACAAAAAGACACAATAGCAAATAAAACCTGTTAAAATTATTTGATTTTACAATTAAGTATAAAATTGTGACCAACTAATGACTAAACCCAACAAGCCATTATCTTGATCTGATTTTCCTTAACTTTTAGGCGTTGCTCGGCCTGTACATTAGATACTTCGATTGCTATTTTCTGTTTATTGAGTTGATTCATTTGTTCTTTCATGATTTTAGCTTCTTCTAAATACTGATAGGAAAACAATAACAAGGATGTGAAAGACAGCACAATTTTTAGATGAATTTTTTCAATATCATTAAAAGATACTAAATGTGTCATTAATGATATTAGAAAACATAGGGCTGCTACTTAAATAGGGACTCAGATGTGTTTCATTTTTATAAAGAACTTTCAAAGCAGAAGACTATAAAATTAGAAATATTCTTCAACAGATTTCCAAGGAAAATTTTCATCAAGTACATGATTTTGACACATACTTGTATGAAAAATCTAGTCAATTATTTCTATCTTTGTACCCTATATACTATGCTACATCTCATTACTTTTGTTTGTTTGTTTTGTTTTCCCAATAGAGTTTCTCTGTATTGCTTTGGAGCCTGTCCTAGAACCAACTCTGTAGAAAAGGCTGGCCTGGAACTCACAGCAGAGATACACCTGCCTCTGCCTCCCAGGTGCTGGAATTTAAGGTATGTGCCACCAATGTCCTGATATATATATATTTCAGCAGATAATCTGAGCCTGAACTTCACTGTGAGTTCCAGTTTAGCCTGGTATACATGGTAGGACTTTGAAGTGAGGATGACTCAGCTTTTATTATAGTAAGGACAATCAACACAGGAGTCCTCACCACCATGTTTTCTAAAATCTGAGACTATAGAACAAAGATGTGAAAGGAAAAGGCATCAACCCCAAAAGAAAATGGACAAACAGAAGGAACACATGTGAGACCAAACAATCCACAGACAATAGAAGAAACATAAGCCAGTTAGAAAAACATAAAATAAGATGCCCTGACACAATGAGAGGCTCATGATTGAAAGCAGTAGTAGTAGATGGAGGAATGGAAACCAAAAGGGAAGAATTAGGGAACTGGAGAGACAGTAGAGTAGTTAAAAGCACATACTGCTCTTGCAGAGGACCCACACTCACTTCCCTGCACCTGCACTGAATAGCTCACAGGTGCCTGTAATTCTACATGATCTAATGTCCTCCTCTTGTCCCTATGAATGCCTGAACATATACACACATACCAACACACAGAAGCACAAACATGCTCCTGATATCTCTCCTATTACCTCCCTGTACTCGTCTTCTCTCAAACAGGCATATACACATCACATTTTCTGCCACTCATCTCATTTTTTCATTTATGCTTACATATAGCTGAATGTTTCATCCCTACCGGCAAGCTTCAATAGTGCTGTAAGGTGTTATGCATACAGCAGTACAAAACTTATTCATCAATGTCACCTACCTGTGAAGCACACAAACTGAAATAACAACCCAGCAGCAAGATGTGGCTTATGGTACCACAGTAGCATAAGTGTTAATAAAGTAAGCAACCACTTTCTAATTGGATTTAAAGCCAACCAGCTCAATGAGATGAAATGTTGTTCAGCACAGCAATGCACACCTTTCACCTCAGTGCCCAGGAATCAGAGTCAGGTGGAATTCTGTGAGATCAAAGTCATCCTATTCTGCATAGGGAGCTCCAGGATAGACAGAATTACTTAAGAGAGATTCTTTCTAAAAAAATTGAGGTGGACCATTCCTGACATTGTTAAGGCCTCTAGTCACTACACACAGTTACACACATGTATCCACGTGCACAAATGAACACACACACACACCCACAAACACACTCAACAAATCAGGTAGTCGTCAATATCTTTATCATGATAGGGCTTTAAATTTAGTCTCTCCAGTATTTCTTGGATTGCTATATGGTCACGGAAGGCCTCACCCTCCATGGGAAGCAGAAAGGGGATAGTGAGGGTTTTGGTGGGGGTTATAGGCGTGAATGGGAACATGAGAGAACTGGAATTGACAACTTTGTTTCAAATTTAAATAAAAAAGAAAAAAATTAAATTATCACAATAAATAGTTCTAGTAACCCACAGTTTCAAGAGTTTCCAGAATCTAAGAATCCAACATATTAAAGAAACCCTATGTGACACATCATCACACAATCTCAGAGAGCTAAAGACAACAGAAAGATAATGTTTCAGGAGAAAAAAAGGGCAGAAAGCAAGAAGGTGCATAATCAACACAACATTCAAGTTGCAAAACCAAACATGCAAAGGGAAGACAATGCAGCAATATCAAAATTTTATTTAAAAAAAAATGCAGCACAGCAGAAAGATCTCCTGGTGTGAGCCTGCATGAGATTATAGTGAGTTCCAGAACAACCACGACAATTACACAGAGAAACCCTGTCACACTAACAACAACAAAACAGAATCAAAACACCAAGAAGTGCAAATAAGTATCTATATATCAGAAACATGAAAGAGAACAATGATTTAGAGCAATTTCTCAGTGGTTAATACTATGCACTGTTCTCCAAGAGGTCCTGAGTTCAGTTCCCAGCACCTATATCGGGCTCATCACAGCCACTTATAACTCGAAGTACAGGAGATTCAACATCCTTCCCTGGCCTTTGAGAGCACCTTAATCATGAACACAAATGCACACAAATAACATGCACAAAATTAAAAAATAATAATTAATTTCAAAATAAAATCTTTTTTAAAAATGGAAAATAAGACCTTTAAAGCTATGCAATCTCCTTTTAAAATACCTACTGTACCTTATTATCTGAAAGATAAACAAGTTAATGAATTGACAAATGTTCTCTTTTGAAACAGGAAACAGAACATTTTAGATAAGGAAACAAGAATCCTTGGCTGTTGAGTGAACTGTGGTATCAGGACAAAAATGCCCAGTAGATCTATAGAACACATTTTTCTTTTTCTTTCTTTGCTCTTTCTCTTTCCTTCCTTCCTTCCTTTCTTCCTTCCTCCCTTCTTTCCTTCTTGGAGACATGGTTTCTCTGGCTATCCAGGATCTCATTCTGTAGACTTGGCTGGGCTCAAAGTCACAGAAATCCACCTGCTTCTGTTCACACTGCTGGGATAAACAGGTATGTGCCACCACTGCCACTCATTACACATTCTTATTGGATTAGGAGAATCTAAGATTCCAAGAAAAATGGCCTCCAGAAGAAAATGAAGGAGGAGTCCAAGAATATCTATGGTTATTTCACGAGACATGGATTTGGTTCCCCTCACAGACTATGTTGGGGATCTGATGCTTGTGACCTCCAAAGGTACCTGCACTTGTGTGCACATATCTACAATCAAGTTACACACATGCACATAATTAAAATAAAAAATAGAAGAGGAAATATCTGGCAGTAGGCACACACATACCTATGAACCTAGCAATTAGGAGACTGAGTAGCTCAGTAAGTTCCAAGTCACCCTGAATTACAAGACAAGACACTCTCAAAAAATAAATAACAATAATAACAATAATAGAATTGTAAATGAACAAATTAGCCAAGGCAGTTGAGTGATTGACATTTCCATTGAGATAGATTACAAATAACCATTACAGGAAGCCAAGTGGTAAAATAAAACGCCGGGCAACTCAGGATATATAGTCAAGTCAGACAGACTACTATTTAGAGATCCATAATACTGTAAGAAGAAAATGTCTCACTAGTCAGTTGGGAAGATAGTAAAAGCGTTTCCACAAGAGGAAAAGAACAGTATGTCTGTAACAAAGTAAAGGTAAGGACCAACACCATGTCACACCTGTGCACAGTCAAACTCTCACACCACACCCACCCACACACACCCATCTCAATATGCACACTATAGAAAGGAAGGAAAAGAGAGAAAGCAAGGGAGGGAAAGCTAGGAAGGAAAGAGACAGAGGGGAAGGGGCCTGGGACCTGGGAAGATAAACAGATTTATGACAACAGCAGTGAGAGCACGTGTGTGTTAGTGTCTAGGGGAGAGGAGGGTGAGGACAAAAGGTAAGATGTCACTTTAAATTACCCAAGAACTCCTCCCTCCTCTAGGACCCCAATTGGTAATATGTTAACTCTTACTGCAGTCTTTCTTGTCAGGAATCCTGTTAGCCGATGTCTCCTGTGAGAGTAAAAATTCGGACTGCCTTCTATCATGGGAGAAGACAGAAGGAAGAACACACTTTTAAATCCTTTATGGGAGTCGGCAGGGGAGACTTCCTGATCCCATAAGTTTACTCATTCACTACACAACTCCACACATGGTTCATTTGTGAGGTAGGTGCCCAGAACATGCTATATTCACATCTAAAAGAATATCTGTAGTCTACAAACCTGAAGCATGCTTTCCTGAAATTGAGAATTTTCATTCAAGTTATCTGTTATTACTCCTTTAAGTCGTTCTTTATTTATTTCAATTATTCTTAGTGTGGTTTTGGCCTAAGAAACAGAAATACACCGTTTAAAACAATTTAACAGAAAGCCACCTGATTATGTCTTTTTTGAAGAACATAAAATGTAAGCAAAGGTCAAAACATTCCACTATTTACAGCAGAAGCACTATCAACACTACTTTGATACACTCATTTGCCACATGACTTTGAACAAATTATTGAACCTTCCATGTACTATGCAGACAATTTTGTTAACTACTGAAATAGAAAAGAACAATTATTAGTTACAGAATTACTGGTTTATTTAGCGGCTTACTTAAAACACTGCTTGTACTGCCTATTTGCCAAACATGGCTTCACTTGCTACCAGGAAGGGAATAACCTGGAGAAATAGCTGAAAGAATGGTTGTCACCCTTAGCAACCTGCTACTGCCATGTACACTTCAGAAAAATGTGCTTGCTTGCCTGCCCACGTTGTGATTTTAAAAAAGAAACTCTAACCAGAATTGAAGGCTTTCTGGAGGTCTCATGAGGACAGTCCTCATGCTCACTAGTGCAGGAGTAGATATTAGAGAAAGACCCCACACTCCTTACTCTTTGTCTCCTGACCTAAACTTTATATGGCATGAAGCGAATCTTTTTATTATCGATACATGTTACACAACTTCAAGAGTGCTCAGATATATTCCTAGGTTAAATATATCCAGAGGAAAATGAATTTCAATCAAAGTAACACATCAAAACAAATGCATATTTAAGCTTGGCTACATTTCAAATACTAACAATATTTTATTACCTAATGTGATGGCTATGTTTGGTTATCAACGATAACTGGAATTAACTAAAACCCAAGGAAGCTGTGAGTACTGTGTCTAAATTAAATCATTTCAAGTGGCAAGACCCATATTTAATCTGGATCTTTTGAGGTGGGAAGATCCACCTATATTCGGGGCTATACCTTCTGGCAGCAGCCTATCTAAAGGACATTCGAAGGAGGAAGCTTGCTGGTCCTCACCCTCATTGGCATTACAGCCTACTTCTTTGGTATTACAGTGTATACTGAGTATCAGGTGAGACATCCAGCCTCATGGACTGAGAAAGTGCTGGATTCTTGGACTCTCTGTTGGTAGACTGACATTGCTGGACTGAGTGGAACACAGCCTGGAAACGCTTTAATAAATACCCGATATATATATATATATATATATATATATATATATATGACATCTCCTAAATTCTGTTCCTCTAAAAAACTCTGACAAATATACCCAATAATAATATGAAACATAAATGGTCTTCATAAGTGACAGACCAATTTATTTCAACTTAACTTACTTCAGCTAGCTGTGATTTGACAGACTGTGATTCATCTGCTAGAGACTGCATCATTTTTGAAAGGTCACTCATCTGAAAAGACAGTATCAGTCAGGAAGTATTTAATAAGTCCATTTTGCTCCAAGACAACATGCATTAGTTAGGTACATTGTTAATTTACTGTTAATAAAAGGGAGAGGCCAGATGAGGAGGCCTTGTCAGATTGCATTCCAACTGCTCACAAGGATTTTACAAATTATGTAATCACATGATGTCCTTACAAATGCAATACATCATAGAACTTTTCAGGTTTAAGGTGAACCCACTAATTCATATGTTAAATAATTTCACACACATCAAGATTTTGCTTAATCCAGAATTTAAAGTAAAATAAAAGATATATATATATATATACATATATGTTAATATTTTTCACTATGAATATTCAAATTATATCGTTTATGGTTACTTGCAACGTAAATATTGTAATTTTCCATTTAAATAACAAGCTAGCCAAGTGTGGGGGTGCACACTTGTAATCCCAGCTCTTAAGAAGCACAGGCAGGAAGGTCATGAGTTTGAGGCGAGCCTCACTTATACATACAGGACTATATTCTAAGAGTATGTCAATAAATATAAACAATAAGAAAACAGGAATATGCACAAGCCACTCATCATAACATCTAAAAAGTAAAAGTTTGATGGGAGGTGTTGGCACATGCCTTTAATCCCAGAAAACAGGAGGCCCAGGGAGGTGGATCTTTGTGAGTTCCAGGCCAGCCTGGTCTGCATAGTGTGTTTCACAACAGCCAGAGCTATTATACGGAGAAATCCTGTCTTGAAAAAGCAAAACATAACAACAAATAAACAAAAGAGGTGAAAAGATCAGATCAGATGTGAAAATTTTTGTTCTCATATTATTCTACATCATTGTTTTTCTTTTGATTTTTCTAGACAGGGTTTTTCTGTGCCAATTTGGAACCTTCCTGGAACTCATTAAGTAGAGTAGGCTGGCCTGAAACTCCCAGAGATCTGCCTGCCTCTGCTTCCAGAGTGCTAACATTAAAGGCATTTGTCAAGAATGTCCAGCCTGCATTCATTTTTTAAATACATGAGCTTCTTTTCATTTTTGAAGATAGTATATCCTCTCCCTGTTCAGGGCTTGGAACTAATGTTTCTTTCTCCCAAGTGCTGGTATTATAAGTTTGTGCCACTATGGTTGGCTCACATATAATATTTTAAAAAATATTTAATGTATATAAGATTCATAATTCTCTTGGAATATATGAGACTCACCAATTCCTCTTCTTCATAACGTTTAGCTCTCTCTTCTTCTAGTTTCTTCTCTATAAGTAATATTTCTTCTTCAAGTTTAGATTTATTTCTTTCTAGATTGTTATAAGTTGCCTAAAATAGAAAGCTAACTTTAAACAAGCCAAACATAAGAATTTTTAGTTAGGGTAAAAATCAGATGAGTATACTCAAATTAATAAACACTTAACACATTTTTTCATTTAACAAATATTAAAATAACAGCAGATTTAGCAGTTGCCAGCAACTTCTATAAAAAAAAGTGTAAGTATTTTAGGTGCCCACTAGTCAACCATGGAAAACAATGAATACCCCCTGAAGGATTTAAAACAGTTGTATTCCAAAAAAACTTTTATGTAAAAATAAAGAAAAATTAATGAGTTTATTTGGAGTCTAAACTCCCTGTGGATTCTAGAAGGGCATTCTACATCATAAACACAGACTTACTACTTAGGACAGAGGATGACAGAACTGCCATTCTGGACTGAACACATAATCAAAGGGACAAAGTTTTTTTTCTGTTTTATCATTGGTAGGAGCAGGCTATTTCTATTCACTATAAAGGCTCACAACTCAGTTTTAATAACCGTTCCACTTGCAAAGAGTATTGAGGCACTTCATCACATCATACTCTGTCTTTAAGACGAGCCGTTGTGTCCTCTGAATCAGGACAGTTAACTGTCCAACTCTCCTAAACTCTCCATTCTGTGAAATCATGGTTATCTACTGAAAACTGGCTGTGATGGAGTGTGTAGACAAGGGTTGATGAACAGAAAGGGATTAAATATTTTTCACCATGCCAGTCTTTACAATTTAAACCTCTGGTCTAATTTTAGTAAATGTGTACTACCATGGTAAGAAAAAATAATATGGTTACAACTTGCTTGTCTGCTACTATGCTTAAATTTGTGAGAGTTCTATGTTTCTTTCCAGGAGCATACTATGTCAAAAGTAGGAATTGTCTTTCCAATACTTTCACCGGAGTACAGAATGCAGAATTTCTCTCTTTCTATAAATCTATAGCTTCTGATAAACTGATTTTGTATCCCTCAAAACAAGTTAATGACAAGAGTTGAAACTGTTATGTTTTAAAATATTTTATGCTACCTACAAATATTCTGTTTCCACTACCTTTTTCTGTACATTGTAAGATCCAGATACACAATTTCATATTTCTCTGACATAATTATTTTTGAGGGGACAAAATATTTCTTATAAGAATCTTTTCCTTAGCTTTTATATCATACTTTTGTTTTTACCTTCAAACTCTGTACTTCTGTTGATGCCTTGTCAAAGTTGGCCTCCTTTCAGGATGACTCTAAGCCTTCATACTGAATGAAATAAGGGAACACGTGAGGAAAAAATATTAATTTTTTCTCAACTTGTATCTAAATAGACACCAAAGAAGAAAACAGAATTTATATCCACCATGTAAAGAACCCTTGGATTTTGTGAGCTTAGTTTTGCAGTCTAAACACTGTGCTGAGGAAAGCCAGGTCTACAAACAAGCCACAACCATCGGCCTAGGCAACATAAGGCAGAACGTTTCCGTTGTGACTAGCAAAGTTTCCCCACATCTGCTGGGGCTGAAAACACTAACAGCAAGTGTGACTAAAGAGTATCTAAAGAAGTGAGTCTTCTACTATCCCCTGAACGGATTAATGGCTTCTCCAGTCTGTCAGTAGAACAATATGTGGTAACTGGCTATCAGACATTTATATCATGTGATAAATAAGGCAAGTAAGGAAGATAAAATCTGTGAGTTTCAGAACACCCTGGTCTACAGAGTGAGTTTCAGGACAGCCAGTGATGCACAGAGAAACCCTGTCTCTTATATCTCAGCACCTCAGAATTTTCGTTATTTAGAGACAAAGCCTTTGAATACAGCTAGGTTAAAATGAGGGATTTAAGATGACCGCAACGTAATATGACTGATATCCTATGAGGAGAACACTAGGACAGAGAAAGACACAACATGCAGACAGTACTATCTAAAGTCAAGGGTCAGGTCACCGAGGAAGCAAAGCCTGGCTCTATCTCCATGGACTCGTTTCAAGAACTGTAAGGAAATTCACTTCTGCTGCTAAAGGTATTTTGTCACAGTAGCCCTAGCATGTCCAGATGAAAACAGTAAATAAAGTATCTACATGATAACAAGTAAAAGTACCTTTACATCCTTGATAAGCAAAAAAATCTCATGAAACATTACACTACATTAAATTGTAATTCAAATCTTCTACCTTCTAAGAAACCAAACAAAACAGAAATGTAAGCAACAGAGTAGAAGAGATTTACAATCCATATATCTGAAAAAACTCTTATATATGACATAAAATAGTAAAAGCAAAGGCCCTAACCTATATGGCATAAACTGAGAAAGATTATGAGTGCATTTAAAAGGATGGAAATGGGCAAGTGAGATGTCTCAGTAAGTAGTTAAGGAGCTTCCTACCAAGACTGATAACCTGAGTTCAATCCCAGGGACCCACATAGTAAAAAGAGGAAAGTGACTCCTCCATGTCCTATGATCCTATGATCACCACACAAATGCCTTCTTGGTACATGCCTACACACATAGACACAAATAGACACACACAGTAAAAATAAAGTCATCTTTTAAGGTGGATAAGACGTAAAAGGCAATTTTACAATATCTAAATGAGCAATAAGCAAATCAAGGTGCTCTGACTAAATAGTCAGGGAAGGTAAACACTACACATCACCAGGGTGGCTGCAAAGAGAATGGCTAAGTGATGAAGTTGAGCAGCAACAGAGCTCTGGTCTGAAACAAAGCTCTGATGGCAGGCAATAACCCATGGAGAACAATTAAGCAGCACACTGTGATGGGTGGTATTTTCAAACACATCTCACCTCCTCTTGAGCAAGGCACACTTTGTCAATTAGATCACATTTCTTTTTTATTTCCATTGCAAGTTCCACAACCAGTCTATTCTCTCTTACTGAGAAATCAAAGGAAAGATTATTAGTACTAAAGTGTGAAAACACTTTAAATTAGATACAATCACAAGATCTAAAATCAAAAAAGACTACTTACTCAAATAAAGTCGGCTCTGAATCTGAAACAAAAATTTAACAAAATTGCATTAAAACAAATATATCTTTAAGCAAATCTATCTGACTTCTGCTTCCAGCTTTAAGACGCCAAATTTCTTATGGCCTTATGGTAAATAAATTACCCGAAAGCCTTTTATTTCAAATGAAAACAATGCTATATAGTAAGGTCTCCCATTGTGTGGTATCATGTGTGTCTCTGAAACAGTCTCATTCTAAAGAAAACTGTATAATTGCACTTAACCCCATGTTTCCCATGCATATATTGGCTCTAAAACAAAGTATTTTAAGGAGCCACCATTATTAAATCTCCTACGGTTAATAATCAAGATAAAAATATATGAAATATCATTGGACCCTAGACCTTTACTGACTAAAAAACTCATTAGTCTTTTTCTTCTTCTTACTTCAGCTTTTGATGAGGAATGGATAAATACACCCTTGAGAACAGTGGTGATAGGGTAAAGTGATCAAGGTACGCAAACAAGAACACTCATGCCACCTAGAAAACAGAGACAAAAAACTGGAAGAAAAAAATGACAAAAAACAGTGGGATATGTGTAAGCAGAAGGTAAGGAAGAAAAAAACATGAAGATATTAGAAATGAAGTCAGTCAGAAGCACAAAGGCCAACATCTAAAAAGAAGTCTCAGAAAGAAAAGGCTATGTTATGACTCCCTCCTTAAAAACAGTTAGCATAGGAAAAAGCAATATATGATCCAGGAGAGCCATGAAAGTAGCGATTTTTACTCTTAGTTGGGAAGTAGATATACCTGCAAACTTTTTAATATTGTTAAAAACAAGCACAGACACCCCAAATTTAAAGAAGAAAAGGGAAGGAAAGAAAGTTGGGGCTTTAGTACTAGTGTGTAGTATCCCTACAATAAAATCTTTTAAAATATACTTACATAAAAATATTTCTGTTAATCCCTGTTCAGTTTTTAAAAACCACCTGTTAGCATAACGCAGAACACTGAGACCTAACTCATTTCCCTGAAATAACAAGTTTCTCCAATTAGTTGTTCAGTCTAAACACAAAATGAAGGTTACAGAGAAATGGCACAGAGCATTTGTTGGTCTTGTAGAGGACCAAGATTCAATGCCATCATCGACATTATAGCTCACAATCATCAGTAATTCCAGCTCCAGGACATCCAACAATGGCCCACTAATCACTTCTGTAGACCAGGAACACGTGACACACACACATACATACAAGCAAAACAGTCACACACATAAAAGGAAATAAACTTAAAAAACAAAAGCAAAAAACCTAGAATGACCATTCACTTACTATAAGTGGTAACTTACTGATCGCTATCCTCTCCAAAGAAATAAGAAAATGGTAAGCAGTGCAATGGCAACCAAACATATCAGTGATTCTAATGATGGCTCACTAGGATCAAAGCTTGTTGTCATATCTTCAGGCACTGCTGCCACAACCTTCGAGACAAAGAAAATAAACCTATAAGCATGCTTCTTCAACAGTACTGGTACAAAGACAGGCACAGGTGGCTGTGGCCAACTCTATTCATATTGAATGGGCTACCATAAAATACAAAGCAGAATGCCTCCAAACATGTTTTCTAGTAAATTACATTTGTTCTTATTGAGGGGCTAAGTGTGGTGAAACAGTAGTTTTCAAACAGAAGTTATGGGGAGATTCCACAGAGCATAACTCCAGGAGAGTTAAAGGATAAGGATATAGTATCAAGAAAAGAACATTGTGGAATATTTTATATGTGTTTCATTAGTTTATGTTGCATTTGTTTAACTCTGTAAAGCTGCATTACTTTGCCTGTCTAAAACACCTGATTGGCCTAATGAAGAGCTGAACAGACCAATAGCTAGGCAGGAAAAATAGGCAGGGCTGGCTGGCATGCAGAGAGAATAAATAGAAGGAGAGACCTAGAGAAGATCCAGGGACAAGAGGAGGAGGACACCAAGGGCACCAGTTACAGAGTAAGAAGGAAAGCAAGGCATATAGAATAAATAAAGGGAAAAGAGCTCAGAGGCAACACATAAAGAGAAATGGGATAATTTAATTTAGAAAAGCTGGCTAGAAAAAAGCTGAGCTAAGGTCAGCCATTCATAAGTAAGAATAAATCTCCATGTATTTATTAAGCAGATAGGTGAGGGACACCATCTCTACCAAAGATTTTTAAAATCCAGTAAAAAAGAAAAGTATCAATGATCTGGGTTGGGTTCTTTTCCCTGAGTTCAGGTTCATGATTTATCCCTATACACTGGGTTTGAAATAACATTTCTTGCAGAGGAAAAACACTGATCCGCAGCTTGTCCTCTGAGGAAGGGAGAGTGACAAGAAACAACTGACAGAGCTTCAGAGTTGGGATTTAAACCCTTCCTTCCTGTCTCTTGAGTTAAATTGATGCAGTTTGAGCCCCAAAAGGAAATGGCTCTTTCAAAAACAACCATAGAAATGATGGGCTTGACTCGTTCCAGGCATCAACATACACCATCTAGAAACACCACAGCTGTATTCTCCTTGGGGTCTGACAAAATGAACAACAAATGCTTAGATAATTACTATCTATAAAACCTGTTTTATGCTAGTACATGACAAGGACCTTTTACAAGCTGCTATCTACAGCTTATTAACTTCTAACAAAAAAAAAAAATACATGCAATAGTATTATCCTCTTTTTTTATTCCCTGTATCTTTATTTTCCTTTTTACATCTGTGACTCCAGAAAGGATCCAAACTGTAGGTGCACAGCCTCTGCTCTGGGTTTCATGGAGACTTCCTTTAACCTTGTGTTTTAGATCCTTACGGTACAGGACTGACCTTACAAGGGCTCAGAAAAGGGTTAAAAATATTTTATCCTGGTCCTGTCTCTCTCTTTCTCACCTGAGCCACATACACAAAAGTGTGATATCATGTTGCAAGGCAATGATAACAACGATTTGCCTCTAAGATCACCAGAACAGATATTCAGGCATGGCAAATATTTCCATTATCTCCCTCCAAAGACTATGAATGTATAACCAAGCCCTCCACATACCCTCTAAAATATTCTTCCACACCTCACAGAGTAATGCCTGCAGTAAATTGCATATATTACCTCTTCCTGAATCCATCTTCCCTCAGTGGGTTATTCTAGTCTTTATCACCAGGCCCCAATACTAACTGATCATAAACAAGTAGATTGACTCCTCTGATAGCAGATAAAAAAGGCTAAGACTAAAACTGTTACTAGAAACAAAGATGTGATGGAAAAGGCTAGCTCAGTCTTTAAGATGTAGGATTTTATGCAAGAGAACCACAAAATGAAGTAAATCTGTTGAAGTAAGGATAAAACAAACCGTTCATCAACAGTAGTTAGTTATTTTTAGATCTCACTTTCAGTGAGTCAGCATGAAAAGAGAACGAGGTAAAGTCACTACAAATACGTTAGACTATCATACTAGCAAAATACTATGCAATAATAGCAAAAAATACATTCACTCTCAAAGGTACATGGAAGATTCTTCAGAAAAAATCCAGGCACTAAGCTAAATCACACCTCAATATTTTCTTTGTTTGTTTTTTGTTTTGTTTCTTTAAATAATCCAATCACAGGGCCAAGCCCAGAGAAATGGCTCAGCAGCTGAAAACATTTGCTGCTCTTGCAGAGGAGCAGACTTCAGTTCCCAGAATCCATGTCAAGAAATCCCTAAGTGCCTGCCCATGACTCCAGCTCTGTGAGATCTGTTGCCCTCTTACTGCTTCCTTGGGCAGCTGAAGCTACAAGCACATACACACACATACAAATACTTTAAAATAGTAAAAATTCAATTGACAAATTCCCATGTCGAGAAGCATATTCTCTGATTACAACGGGTTAAAATTAGTTATCAAAAAAAAAAAAAAAAAAAAAAAAAAAAAAACCCAGGAAGGACTGGAGAGAGAGCTCAGCAGTTAAGATCATTTGTCATTCTTGTAGATAAATGACCCATGCTTGGTTCCCAGGATCCACTTGGTTGCTCACCACTATCTATGACTCCATTTCCAGGGAAATATGTCACCCTTTAAGGCATCTTTAAGCACAGCAAACATGTGACGCATGGACATACATGCAAGAGCAAAACATCCATGAACATAAAAGGTTTTTTTTTAAATAATAAAATGCAACACAAAACTTACACAAAACAACTACTTCAGTGTGTAACAGGAAAATTTATAGTCATAAAAGACCTTGTAAAAAAATATGTGGGGGCAAGGGCTGGAGAGATCTCATAATGGTTAAAAACATTAGCTAGTTGTCAAGAGGTTCTGAGTTCAGTTCCTAGCATCAACATGGTAGCTCACAACCATCTGCAATGAGGTACCCTCTTCTGGCCTGCAGGGATATAAGGAGAAAGAACACACTATATATAATAAATATATCTAAATAAAAATTTTAATATTATTGGGCTTGGAAGATAGCTCAGCAGGTAAAAAACTTTGCCACCAATCCTTAGGGCCTGTGTTTGACCCCCATCATCAATGTGGTAGAAGGATAAAACCGACTCTTGGGGCTTTGCATTTACATACACACCCACACACACACAAACACACACAGACACACCATATGTACACAGAAAGGAATGTAATGTTCAGTTAAAAAAAACAATGTCATAATCCACAGTAAAAGAAATGAAGGAAAAGAAGATCTCAACAGATAGTAATAAAATATGTAAGAAAATCAACCTTCTAATCATCAGGAGACTGCAAACTTGGACTACTTTTCTCAATCTGACAAACAGCACCAATAGAAGACTCACAGCTAACACTATCCTGAAGGGGAGAGAACTCTTCCCTTACAAAATGCAACACATATCCACACAGCCCACTGAACCACAGAAAATCCAGCCAAGTCTGCAAAATCCCTCCATGTTCCTCACCAACAACCTTATCAAAAATAAGTGTTGGTAACTGCTAGGTGCCTGTGTATTTTATGTGAAAAGCCACAGGCTGCTGTGGTAATGTCTTCCTTTTTTACCTCAATTTTTCTAAGGCAGAGTCTCTCACTCAATCTAGAGCTCACACATTCTCTGATAAACTGATTACCAGTGAACCTGGGATTCCTCTATTCACAGCTCCACCCAGCATTTACATTGCCTTAAGGGCTCCAACTCCAGATCATAGCAAGCACTTTCCTTTCCGAACTGAGCCATCTCCCTAGGCCCTAATTGTGGATTCTGAGGAAGATGTGTGTGATCTGAAATCATCTCTCATCTGCAATATGCTTCTCTTCCCATAAGCCCCATCTCAGTAACTTAACTGACACAGCCAGGAACTTGGGATTATTCTAGATTCTCCACACATCCCACCCATCTCTACAGCTAATCAAGAAAGTAACACTCATTTTAGCTCTTATTTCTTCTTGCCTCATTTAGGACAAACATCTCTATTCTTACCCCTATCAATTCTCCTTCCTGTGTTTTTTTCCCTGACATTTGATTCTCATATATCAGGAATATCTATACATTTTTTTTCTATGGGTCTCACCACTGATGAGCCTGTGCTGGATCTCACACCCCACAGCAATCCTTGAGACCCAGTGGTCTACAGTAAGCATCATTTCACATCAGGCCCTTGGCTCACTTATGCTGTGAGCTCCTGTGCATGCTGTTTTCACACCTCATCTACTAAAACTTATTTGCTCAGTCTAAAGACTTTCCCATCAACCCAAGGAAAAATAATCACTCCCTTCCCTTGTTTTGCATTTGTACTTCTATAGGCAATAGACTTCAATTGTGGATTAATTTTGTGTATTTTCTCCCCAAACAGCCAACATGATGAAAATGACCAAATTCCTTATTTCATTTAGAACCTCCATAGAGCATTTTTATTCATGGGCAAATGAACCATGAGCATGGAACTACTTACTTTAAATTCACAGAACATGAAGATAATTAGAACTGGCAGCAGCTCAAAAATCCTCCATGGGCACTCCACGGTGGCAGTACGAGTCACCGCCATCCCTGTGCCAACGATGGGGGGCCTTGCAGCTGGACAGATGGACAGCAGCAGAGCAGAGCACAGTCAGTGGGGGCACTGGGAACGGGAAGGGTTCTGGGGCCGGCTGGCACCACTGCCCTCTCCACCTCCTTATCTCAGTTGACGCGTCAACACCGGCACTCTGACCTCCAGCACCAGAGTCCTGCAGAGCTGGAGCAAGAGGAGCTGAAGCACCCAGTGTGGGGCTGCAGACCCACACTCCGAGGCCTGGGGCACAGCCCCGGAGTGAAAGCTCAGCCCCTTATCCCTAGCTACTATCGCACTCTGTCCTACAAAGTCAAAAAAAAAAAAAAAAAAAAAAAAAAAAAACACTTTCCTATAGAACACTAAAGGCTGAAGCACCAAGTTTGGGGCTACAGCCCTACATTCTGAGGGCTGGGGCACAGCCCCAGAGTGAAAGCTCAGCCCCCAACTTTCGGCTACTATCACACTC